CCATTACACAAGTCGTTTACATTTTTTATTGTTACAACTTTAACTTTTCATGGCGATGCATTCTTATTCTACCCTTTTTTTACATATCTATTATTATTCCTCAAATGAGTCAAATGAACTTTTATTTTAGATCTTAAAATAATAAAAGGACTTGTTATTGCTACATGGTTACCCTTAGTACATCTTTAAATTTTTATTATTATGCATTTTTATTCTATCTCCTTGCTTTACATATCATTTAGTATTCCTCAATGGGTGGATTACATTTTATTTTAAACCTATAAATAATTAGAAGACACGGGTCCTATACAATAATTTATTATTATGGTGCATTGATATTCTACCATTTTATTTTAGATATCAATTATTATTCCTGAATCAAGTTAAGTAAGATTTTATATAAATCTTAAAATAATAGAAAGACACCAGTCCCAAACGTTAACGTACGACTTTAACTTTTTATTATGATTTATTGTTATTCTAGCCTTCTAGGGTTTTTTAAATTTTACATATGAATTAATTTTCCTCAAATTGGTTTGTTGGTTTTTACTTTAAATCTTTAAATGTGTCTTGTCCAATAATTTTGTTATCGCTACAACTATAACTTTTTTTTAATAATGCAACGTTATCCTACCTTCTTATTTTAATACACCAATTATTATTCCTCTAATAGGTTAATTATTTATAAATATAAATCTCAAAATAATACTAAAAAGATGCACTTACACTCTTGTGTAACCAAACGCGCATAGAGTAATTTTATTAAGAGAAAACACTCCAGATTACATAATCATGTGATTAAACAACTGTGTTACCCAAACTAGCAAGTGTACTCTTGTATTATATATCCAAACTCATCCTTAGAAGCAGAGTACAGAAATATACAGAATATAAGTATAGAAATCCTAGGGATTAGACACCAGACTTGGGCTCAATTTTTTCTCAACATAAGCTGTGGGTTAGTCCTTTGTAATGATCACTTGTAAAGTTATGAGTTTTGAATCTCATATCAAGGATAGTCTTATACTTCGTAATTTGACACGTTTCTTGTACTATTATAGGCTATAATTTAGAGTTACCTTCCTTTTTCCGCACTCCTGTAAATTGTATTTTTTTTTTCCTTCTAGAGGGCCATGTACTTTATACTGAAGTGAGCTGTAACTAGTATCTTTGCGTTTCTATCTTGGTTTATTATTCTAAACCTGGGGAGAAACAATTTGTTTAAAGGGCATTCCTGAGCAAGTTGGAGTTGATGATATTGCACAAGCTTCCCCTACTCCGGGTGATCAAACTTTGAACCCTTCACCTTTGGCTTCTCAACAAACAATACCTTCTAGTGGCCCGAATGCAAATCCTTTAGATCTCTTCCCACAGGTACATGTAGTGTAATCAGACAGTTTTATTATAAAAGTACCTAACAACACAGTTTTATTATAAAACTACCTAACAACAACCTTGCTTATTTGGCTAAAAGAGTAATTTTTTTACAATGCTTTAACTTCTTTTACATGTTACATTCTATGTAGTTTGGGGTAGTAAATGCAACAATGCATCAATGTCTATCAAGAATAGCCTCTCTGTTTTTTTACCAGGATAAGGCTGTGTACATCTTAACCTTTGAGAATCCAACAGAGTTGGGATAATCTTGAGTTTTTTTATTGCTGTTTTTGTACTATGGAACAATCGAGTAAAGTCCCACGAGTAGGGTCTTGGGAGGGTGGATGTAGAGCGGGTATTACTGAAAGATCCTCAGAAAAACCTCACATGTTTTTTGAAATATTATTGTTGCGGTGCTCAGGGCCTTCCAAATCTGAATTCTAATACAACAGCTGGAAATTTGGATTTTCTACGCAATAATCCAGAGGTATGCGAAGTGTTTTTCACTGGAATAGTTATCCATAATTGGGTTACTTACCAAACAAAGAAGATAGCTACAAATAGTAGATGTGATTACTTTTTTCCTCGAACAGTTCCAGGCCCTTAGAACAATGGTGCAAGAAAATCCTCAAATGTTGCAGGTACTGGTCTCCCATTTTCTCATCGTTTGCTTATGGCATGTTTGGATCCTGGAAAATGCTAGGGAACTAAAGCAAATGCCTAAGATAGTTGTTTTCTTATGCTAGGGAAAACAATCCACACATGCACGAACACTACCCACACATGCAAACACACACACACACACAAATCCCCCCCCCCCCCAAAATTTCTTTGGGTTTGCTTTCTTCCATATTTTCTTCACCTAGAATTTTCTAAGTTTCAAACAGACCCTTATCGTACCTACGTTGGGAGTATTTTCAACCAAAAATGCTTGAATATCAATTTTTGTATATGTATTTTTGCATGTAGGCTATGCTTCAAGAACTCGGAATGCAAAACCCTCAGATTGTACGGGGTATTCAAGAAAATCAGGCTGACTTTCTGCGCCTTATCAATGAACCTGTGGATGGGGAGGGGTGAGAGCACATATTTTGCAATGTTTCTATTATTTGTCTACTTGATTCTCATCGAGAGAGAGAGAGAGAGAGAGAGAGAGAGAGAGAGAGAGAGAGAGTGAGTGAGTGAGAGAGTGAGTGAGTGAGTGTTTAAATAAAAGCAATTTTAAAGAAATGAAACCACTGTTTTTTGTCCCTGGATTGCGCCCTTGCTTAGCTTGTTCACCACATGGGGCATTACATATTTCATCATACGCTTTATCTTATGCGGAATTATATCTTAGTTATTATTTGTCATGACAAATGTATTATAGGGACACATTGGATCAGTTGGCTGGAGAGATACCACAAGTCACTGTCACCCCTGAAGAGCGCGAGGCTATTCAACGTGTAAGCTTAACACTCCTACTTAGCTTCAGAGAGCATATACAATCACTTATTTTCAAGGGATAAGTTTTTTTTAGAAAACAAAGCATACTCTACCTTAAAAATGAAGCATTTGAAGCAAAAGGAAAAATGTGATTTAAGAGTACAAAAAGCACTCCCAAGTTCCAATGCTTATTTGAGAAAGTTTAAGATTAGTGCTTTTTCTTAAAAGCTCTTTAATTGCTTGAATGGAAAGAACTTATATAAAAATACTTGTGCGATAAGGTATTACAAACGGCTCTTACACTTTTTGATGTTCATAAAATGTATGGCATCCCTTTGGTGAATGAGGTTATACAACATCTGTCCTGAAAGTGTTTTATATTTGACCAATGTACAACTAGTACATTTTGGTAAAGTAAGAGTACTTATTTATCTTAAAAACTATTTGATGAATTGTTTGAATTTATCACGTGTAACTTTTTTGTTACGAGTATAATTTTTGTAAGGGCTGCGCACACTCATCATCCCACACCCCACTTTGTGGGATTATAGGATTCTACTGGAGTTGTCTTTGTTACCATTTTTGCCAAATTACATTAAAATTAGAAGATTTGTTAGATCAATTAATGATTCCTTTGTTCTTTGAAAACATTTGTATTTTGGTCCACACTACTAGTCCCATACTCCCATTCCTCAAACTCTACTGTTGTGGGATTCAGTTGAGTTATGCACTATTAGTCCCATTATTGACTTGGTGATATGGTTTTGGCAGCTTGAAGCGTTGGGGTTCGATGAATCTTTGGTATTGGAAGTGTTCTTCGCATGCAACAGAGACGAGGAGCTCACGGCAAACTATCTTCTAGACCACATGCATGAGTTTGATATGTGATGATGAATAGCAAACGGTACTCGTCTTTCACTTGTCCTTTTAAAATGATATGTTCCGTTCTTCTCGGTCGAGCCCATCATCCAACGCTGTTTTCGCTTTCAAATATGACATGACCACCAAGATTTTCCCTTGTACTACGTTCTCAAATGGCTGTTATGATTTGTGAGCTTTTCAAATGTCTTCCTTCATGAGAAGTTTAAGCACACATGGCACGAGCTCCAATTGCATAATGTGGAGTTGTGGACTACTAATTACTAATTACTCCCTCTGCCCCAAATTGTTTGCAACATTTCGATGGACGTGCAAAATATTATCTCTTTTAAAATCATTTTATTTATAAATTGGTAGAGAAATAGAATGTAAAAATTATACCGTTCAAAAGTACATTAAAAAATTTTACAAAACAAGATGCGACAATAATATTTCATTTTATCAAATAGTCAACTAGAGTGAGTAAACAAATACTAGTAAAAATTATCGAGACGCTAAAATAGTAATTGTGACATTCTTTTTGAGACGGAGAGAGTACATAATTAACATTAGTGACTTCCCCTATAACGACTACATTAAGAGGGACTATGTGTTAAATCTACAGAAGTTAACTCCTACCTGCGTGCGATCTCTTCATGAAGAAAACATAGCAAGAAATATACCCAAACAATTTGGACATAAATTATACAAGCTACACAAACAACTTGAATATTTTCAATCATATACTCTGTAATAAATGCATTTCACTTGTGCAATTTATTGATTGGTTTAATAATTTTTTTTTTGAAATTAAACTTGATACGATTAAATAAATTTTAAGTTTGAGTTTTGAACTGTTGGTAACCTATTCATTTTAATTTTTTTAAATATTTAAATGTATAGTCTCTCCCCCTTGAATTAAATTGATGCAGTTTCACGAACTTTGAAAAAAATATTGAAAAATAAAAAGCAAGAAAAGGAGATTTGTTTAGAAGAGAAGAAAAACTGTTGGACACAAATTCTTTACTTTTTTAGGTAACTAAATAAGTATAATAAATTTTTTTCGATTCAAACTGTAAAAAAGGTGAAACGGTTAATTTGAGACGAAAGGACTATACTAAATATAATAAATTATTTGTTAAATATATAAAATGAATTTAATATTATTGTATTATGATTTGTTTCCATAGTTGTATAGTTTCCTAGAATATCTCTCCTACCATAACTAGGATTGAGACTTTGTATATATATATATATATGTATTCCTCTCATAATTAATCAATTGAAAATACCTCTTTTTCATGGTATCAGAGCCTAACTAAAACCCTAAAATATCTACCCTAGTTTCGGCCCTCCCCGTACGCCGAACCACCACTTGCGCCGCCGTCTCCCTCCTTCTCTCTTCACGGCCGGCAGCTTCCTCCCCCTCCTACAATGGCCGAAAGTGAAATCACCTCTCAATCCTTCACCCAAAAATCTCCACATCTGGCTTTCTCCGTCTCCAATGTCAAACTCCATGTTCCAATCCAACTCAGCTTTTCTCAACCAAACTACAAAAAGTGGAGCCGCTTGTTCCTTCTTCTTGCACGGCGGTTCAACCTTCAGGGTTATCTCAACGGTTCTATTGCTCCCATCTCCGACGACGATGATGAATGGTTTCAGCTCGACGCCATCCTCCATGGCTGGATTCTCTCCACCATCACTGATGAAGTTTCTGATCTAGTTCTTTCCTCTGTTTCTACTGCTTCTGCCCTATGGACGGTGATTCATGACCTGTTTCACGACAACAAACATGCTCGCGCCATGCAACTCGAGCATCAATTTCGTACCACCGTCAAAGGATCTACTCCCATGGCTACGTATTGCCAAGAGCTCAGGAATATTGCGGATTGGTTGGACGATGTAGACGCTCCCGTATCCGAACACCAATTGGTTCTCCAGATGCTGCGAGGACTTCCCGACGACCTACAGGCACAAACCTCGTTTCTCCAGTTCCAGGACCCCATGTCGAGTTTCCTCCAGGTACGATCGGCAGCGGACTCCCCTGGGCGGCACAAGCAGCACGGCGCTGCTAGCAGGACGGGATGCCGGCGGTTTCACCTGCGGTCAGCATGGCGGGGGCGGCAGCCGCGGCACTCCTCATGCCGGCAGTGGGGATCGTGTTTTTGGCAGCAATTTTGGCGATGGCTCTTCCTCGGGACAGCGCAGCGGTTTTGAACGCGGACAAGGGCGTGGAAACGGCAACCGGGGTCATGGTCGAGGGTGCTCAAACGGCGGATCGAGACAACGGCCGCCAACGGACGTCCAAAGTTCCTGGAACTCACCTTACCCAAACCCTAGCCCCGG